TGTGCATTAGCAGCCAGCTGGAAGCAAAAGGGGAGACAGGACTTGACCCCACTCTCTCAGTGGGCCCCTCAAGTGGCGTGTTAATCATTGTTTGAAATGCCCACTTCCATGTTGGTAATTCTTAAGAACTAGTTTACTGTATATAGTTTTGTCCTGTTGAGAATGAAATCCAACATACATATCGTATAGTTCTTTCACTTATTTCTTTGTGCTTACCAGTGCATATTTATACATACATGTAACATTAGTTGACTCATAAATTTTTCAATATCCCTTTCCTTTTCTTACGGTGTAGCTAAAGAAATATATTTTTTCATGTCTTCTTACTTCCTCGGGTTTTCAGTGTGTTTAATCAGCTCTGTTCATAGGGGAATCAAGCTGCTCTTTTCTAATTGCAAAGTATGATGAAGAACTCATTGTTGTTTTCATTTAAGAAAATTATAAAGCAGAGCAAAACTTAAAATAATAGAAGTATCTATGTACTTTTAAATTCATCATCAGTTAACAGCTTAGCATTACAACATTTGTTTTCTTTCCCCTTTTCCCTCCATTTTGGTGTAATACACTTTTCCTTTCGCTGAGCCATTTAAAAGTAGGTTGTAAACACGTCACTCTTATACTTCAGTATATTTCTCTTAAATGCAAGGGTTATCCCTGCATATCCTTAATACTATTATCATACTATACCAATTTACTGTTGGTTCTGTAATCCACAGTTTGTTTAAATTCTTCCATTTTTTTTCTCCCTGAGAATCTTATCCAACATTATGTATTTCACTTGCTTTTCATTCCCCTCTGTCCATTAGTCGAGAATAGGACTTGGCAGACTTTTTCTTACAGTTTCATTCATAAGTAATTTAGACTTTGTAGATTATGTGGTTTACATTGCAGCTACTTTATTCTGTCTGTTCTCTAACTCAGTGAATATGGTTATGTTCTAATAAAGTTTCATTTATAAAAACAGACAAGCCATATTTAATAGACTGCTGATCTAGAATAATAACATCCCTTTTTCTTCTTGTTTTTGGTCTCTAATGATGCTATTTAATGACAGTTTCAAGAATCAGGACAATTTTTTTGGCAAATTTCCCCCAATTTGGATTTTTTAAAAATGTTCCTATATTAGTTTTTTAAGATTTCAGATATACATGTAATATTAAGAGTTATTTCCACAGAGAAATTTAAAATTAGATTCTTAAAAAAGATTTTAGAGAGGTTAAAAATAAAATCTTTGCTTTTTTCTATGTCTGTCTCTCCATCCCTTCTTTCCTCCTGCCCTTCCTTCCTCCTTTACATTTTCTCTTTATTGAATACTCTGTATGGGATATTACTGCCTAGAAATTGGGCAATAAAATTAACTGCCACAATATCTTTCATTTATAGCAGAATTCTTACTTATGTGCTTTTTCATACAAATATTTTTATATTCACAAAGGTGAATGAAGGATTCAAGAGTATTTGGATAGTGAAATATAGTGAAAATAACTTAGATATAGAGTTGAAGGACAATTATTTTAGCCTGACATAATTCCAGTATATACAAAATGAAATTTCCTATATTGTATCTTGAAGACATGGAACAAAAGGAAAATTAACAATTTATTGTCATAGTTGAATGCAGGTTTTTTTTTTTTTAGCATTATATAAGATTCAGATTTAGAACTGGATAATAAATACTTTTGATACATTTTATGGGAAAGCTGTGCCTTTAGTTCTAGTTTTTCTTTATTTTTTTAATATTTATTTATTTGAGAGGCAGAGAGAGAAGAGAGAGATCTTCCATCTGCTGGTTCACTCCCCAAATAGCTGCAACGACTGGAGCTGAGCTAATTCAAAGCCAGGAGCTTCTTCCAGGACTCCTTGGGTGTGGGAATCCAAGCATTTGGGTCATCTTTGCTTTCCCAGGCCATTAGTAGGGAGCTAGATCAGAAGTGGAGCAGCCAGGACTTGAACTGGTGCCCATATGGGATGCTTTACCTGCTATGTCACTGAGCCAGTCTCTCTAGCTTTTCCTTTAAGGTAATTAGTTTAAATTCAGAATATTTTTAAGTTTACAAAAGAGGGGCCGGTACTGTGGTGCAGCATGTTAAAGCTCCAGCCTGCAGTACCAGCATCCCATATGGGCACTGGTTCGAGTCCCAGCTGTTCTACTTCTGATCTGGCTCCCTGCTAATGCCACAGTGGAAGATGGCCCAAGTCCTTGGGCCCCTGCACCCACACAGGAGACCAGAAGAACCTCCTGGCTCTTGGCTTCAGGTTGTCTCAGCTCGGGCTGTTGTGGCCGTCTGGGGAGTGAACCAGCAGATGGAAGACCTCTCTGTACCTTTCTCTCTCTGTAACTCTTTCAAATAAATAAAATATTTTTTAAAAATTTACAAAACAAATTGTGAAGTACAGAGTTAAAGATTTCCTATATCCCTCACACTCAGCTTCTCCTGTTTTTATTATGTTAGTATTTGTCAGTTGTATAATTTTTTAAAGTTATTCTGTTCATAGCTGTTAAATAAAGCTTGTAATAATATTCTGTTGGATGTTTTCATTTCTTGGCTGAATATTCTCAGAGTTTAACCAATCCTCACGTCACCACTCCACCATGAATTACTAGTATGGCAAGTTCCTAATCTTAGCAAGTTCCTAAGTCTGTGATTTGGTTTCCTTATCTTTAATGATTTGTCTATCATGTTGTTTTTTAGGTGTTACCCAGTTTTTTTTCCCTTTTATTATGATTCCTTCCATATCTGCACAACGATGTGTATGGTGATCTTACTGGTAAAATCTCTTGAGTATTCTGGGAAATAGTTAAAATTATCTGGACAGAAGACTTGAAATTCACTGTTTTCTTACAATCTTTTCATTATTCTGGGCTTTAAGTCTTTTATTTATTTTAGGCCTTCCAATTTGATAATCATTTTGTCTTAAGTAAAATTGGAATTGGAGAGTTACACTTTTTTGTTCTTTTTGTTGGACCTACTATTTAGAGTTCTATTAGAGTAAATTTGTTTATTGAGTAAATTTGTTATAAAGTAACAAAATGAGGCATTTCTTTCCAGTGTCAGTTTGCTCCTAACATAATAAAGGACAGCTGCCTTTGTAACTTTTTCCAAGCCTCAGCTTATTTTTTATAACTCTATTTTTACGTGTCTTTGTTAATTGTTACTGTGTCTATTATACCAGTTAGCTGAAAGTTTAATATACTCAAGTCTTTTAAAGGGATTTATTTTAAAGGCGAAGTGAAAGAGACACTCCATCTGCTGGTTTAGTCCTTAAATGGCTGCAACAGCCAGGACTGGACCTGGTGTGTGGGGCAGGAGCACAGATACTTGGACCATGTCCTCTGCCTTTAGCTTTCTTGAACCAGCACTCCCAACATGGGATGCAGGTGTCCCAGTGTGGGACTTGACCCACTGCATCACAATGCCTGAAGTGTGCAGCTGTTGCTTAAAACAGGGATAGAGGCACCATGACAAGTTTTTGATTATATTTAGTTAGTGGGGTATGAGTTCAGAAGGTGAAGTGTGGAGTTAGGAATACTGGGGGGCAGAGTAAAGTGTTCTAGTATCCAACTTGTTACCATAACCCTAAGGCTGAGCCTTGGGTGAGCCTGCTTAGTAGAAACAGCCAGTGGAGACAGAGTTTCTGTACTGCTTTGTATTCTGCAAAGCAAAAGGCAGCTTAGGGAAAGCAAGTTCAGATGTAACTGCTAACTTATTCAGGATTGACTTAGTACAACCCTAGTGTTTGCTTCAGAATTCTAGCTTTTAAGTGAAATATCACTAGCTTGCACGGAGTCTTATCCTTCATTGTTAGCAATTTCACCTTAATTTTTAAACATTTCATCATAGATGAGTTAACATGGATTTGAAAATAACACATTTTAGGCAGGGGGGCTGAGAGTTTTATAGAGAACATCATGTGGTAATTAAACTATGGCTGTGAGCCTCAAAATTGCATTGTTTCATTCTTTTTATTTCTACTAGTTTGCTAACTTCTGAACTTGGGTGATTTAGTATGTTTTCTGGTTGCACAGAAATGAATCCATTTATCTTTTCATTCAAAAAGATATATATTGAGCATCTGTATGCTGGGAAGTGTGCTGCACATATGCTAAACAAAACGGTGAACTGATGTGTTTGCCATTATAGCATTTGAAGTCTAGTGGGAAACAATGGATTTTATTGGAAGCTGTTAAGAATAGTTGTGCTTTGTTAATATTTAAGGACTCAAATCACTTAGCTTAAAGTGAACTTGGAGTGATTTTTTTTTGTTCTTTTTGCAAAATGTACTTGAACATTTAGGCTTTTTACCCTGAATATATGTATTCAGGGTATGTATGCACACATATGTGAGATTTCAGGGTGTGAGGCATTGGATTTGTGCGAGTATAAAAATGTTGTGCTCAGTGGATCTTTGCAGACAGGGAAATAAAAATATCTTTGTGGTCTTACCTATAAATGCGTAATTCTTAAATGTTGAGAATATATAACAGACTTGTTGCTGGAAAAATAAATTTCTAAAATTGGATGTAGAATAATAGAACATAGAGAACCATGAGACTTAAGATCATGTCTGAATTGTGTGACAGTGTCCTGTGATGTGCTTAAGATCCCTTATTCCAGCAGAGTACTGTAGAGTGACTGAATTTGGTGGCCCCTCCTAGTGCTAAAATTCTATGATTTTACTTTTTTATTCAGCAGTTTCATAATGACTTTGATTATTGGAAAATCAAGATGCTTTCTTTTTTTCTGTACTTGTTCAGGTTCAAGAATTAAAAATTTAAGATGGGGAAAGAAGCCTTTGGTTTCTCTAACTGATATTTTCTGACTAGGTACTTCATAAACTCAGGAAGACCTCATTTATTCCCAGTAATATGTCTTACTAAACTCTTTCAGGTAACTTTAAAAAAGACTGTGTGACTTAATAGTAGATCCTGGTTTGAACTCAGTTGTGATTTATGCTCTTACTAGGAAATTTTAGTGAGATATTTTTCTTTGTCTCTGTAGTTATCAGAGACTGTTACAGACGATTGCTGTACTCGAGGCTCAGCGTTCTCAAGCAGTCCAAGACCTTGAAAGTTTAGGCAAACACCAGAGAGAAGCTCTAAAAAATCCCATTGGATTTGTGGAAAAACTCCAGAAGAAGGTATACATTGAGTATTTTTTAGAATCTGTATAAGATTACTTGGTAATGAGAGAATTGAATTTATTCTTCCTATGTGGGTGTATACTTTTTAAAAAAATTTTTAATTTTCCTCCCTTCTGTAATTAAGCATCCTATTGAAGGCAGTGTACCACCTTCTTCCACCCCTGCCAAACACACCATAAAACATACAGAAATGAAAGGCGCTGGGAAATGTTTTTGGGATATTTGAATGAGAACTACTCAAATAATGTCATAATTTTTAGTTATTTTCCTGTTACCTTCTCTATTCTAGAGTATTTTCTCTATTCTGCCTTCAAGACATCAGGATTGCCAAGATAGAAAAAAAAATATTGAAGGATATAAAGCTTTTTTGGGAGGTCGGGGGCTGGTACTTTTGCACATCAGCATATTGAGAGAGAAAACAATGGTGATAAAAGTATAAAATCTAAATGTTTTTAAGGTTGTAATAGCCTTTTTTTTTAGTGGGAAAATTCCTTGTAATTTTCTGTTTTCCTTAAAATAATTTTTTTAAAGATTGATTTATGTATTTGAAAGTCAGAGTTATGCAGAGAGAGAGAGAGAGAGAGAGAGAGGTCTTCCGTCCGATGGTTCACTTCCCAATTGGTCACAATGGCTGGAGCTGTGCTGATCTGAAGCCAGGAGCCAGGAGCTTCTTCCAGGTCTCCCACACGGGTGCAGGGGCCCAAGGACTTGGGCCATCCTCTACTGCTTTCCCAGGCCACAGCAGAGAGCTGGATCGGAAGTGGAGCAGCCGGGTCTCAAACCGATGCCCATATGGGATGTCGGCACTTCAGACCAGGGTGTTAACCCACTGCGCCACAGTGCCAGCCGCAAAACACAGTTTTCGCGTTTGAGAGTTAACTGTTCAAAAGTGATACAAGTTTTTATAATGATTGCCTTGGTATAAAATATGGAGATTATCTAAGTGTGCATTTTGAGCTGAAATAAATGTCTAGATTTAGGGAATCAGTAACTGCCCAATAAACTTAATAGAAATAATATTATCAACATTGTATGAAAAGATTAAAACTGAATAATTTTGTTTACCTTAATAAAAATCATCTTGTGTAATTTGACAATTTTCATCGTTATGAATTACCTGTTTCTGATGAGCTACAAAAGCAGTATACCAGGTGTTGAGGGAACAACCCTGGGACCTTCATTTCATTAGATGTAATAACCTTATTTGGATTTTTATATTATTTACCTGGCAAACATTCTGTTCTCTATATTTTTCCAGAAAACATTGCATATCGTAATAAATAAACAGTCTGTGTTAAAACTATCTGTTAAAACTCAAGGTTTTTTGAGCTCTACTGTACTTTCTGTTAAAATGAGGTCACCTTGAATGTTCATTGATTATGCATTATTAATGTGAAACAATTTGCTGGTGTAAAAAGATACATTTTTTATAGTGGTTTATTACAATGAATTCAACTAAACAGGTAGTGCTTGAAAAGTAAATCTTAATAAAAAATACATTAACCTTAATTTTGTTTTACTTGTATTCCCATGGAGGCAAAAGATGCAATTTGGCATTTTCTCAACATTTATTTGCAGTTGATTATTTGCTGGTTCTTCATTTCTAGGTTTAGTTTAGAGCTGAATTTCTTTTCACTTTATTTAAGAAACAGAGATATGATGTAGACTATTTTAAGATTTTTTTTTCAAATACACAGAAGTATTTTAAAACTTGATACTTTAATTCCTATGAAAGCTTATGAGAGATCTTCCGAGAGTTTATGAGAAACACATTATAAAAAAACCATGCATGAATTTCAAAATACTTTTGCAACAAAGGAATGTGTCTCTTAATTCCATTTTCCATGAACTTTTTGAGGTACCTCCTAAGTTCCTGAGAAAGAAATTTTTCTACTAGAATTAATTAAGTTTAATATGTTTGTTTCTCTGTTTTTACTCAAGCATGCTTAATTTGCCTAGGTTTATCATTAGTTAAGTTGTTGACATGTGATCTCTTTATTTTAGTGGGCATCTCAAAATTCTCAATTGAAATGAATGGAACTTGTATTTATTAGTAAATAGGATATAGGAAACATTATGGCTTTTTAGTTTTATTTGATTATGCCATCATTATTTTAAAAGACATCTCCTAATTTTATACAATTGTAAATTTTATTAGAGTAATTGTGTTATGATAATATAGTATATAGTAAGCAAAATGAACATTAAGAATTCTTTGTCAAAATTAATTTTCTGGCCAATTTCATCATTTGTGACCTGCTTTTTTTTCTTTTTTTTTTTAATTATAAAGCTGTACTTTGGAAATTTATCTTTATTAAATAAAAATTAAAAAAATTATAAAGTTTAAATACATAGAGAAGTTGAAAGTATTGTGAAATTAACACACATATACACACCATCTAGATTCTGCAACTACCATTTTACTTTATAATATATTTAATCCTTTTATCATTATTTTATGAATAAATCATGAACATGGAAGTACATCTAAAGTTAATTCTGTTGCAGTCAGAGACATTTAATATGCTGTTGCTAGATACTTTTTTGTTTTGGTATTTGTTTAAAATGTGTTACTAATATAGTACAGTATGTCTGCATGGTTCAGATTTGTTATCTAAAAGTAGTACTTACATTTTGCTGAATTCATTTTTCCTTTTATTATTATCTTTAGAATTTAATGTTTAGTTTTTCTCATCTTAATTAACTTTATTGTCTGTTGACTTCAAAGAGTGAATAGAAATGTTTAGTTGATTATTTGGATTTGCTGTCATCTGAAAATTTGATTATAGTTTATTATTTTTTGAATTAAATTTAAATAGTCACTTGGATTTTGTTGCTGTTGGTTTTTTTTCAGGCTGATATAGGGCTTCCATATCCACAGAGAGTTGTTCAGTTGCCTGAAATTGTATGGGACCAATATACCAATAGCCTTGGAAACTTTGAAAGGGAATTTAAAAATCGTAAAAGACATACTAGGAGAGTTAAACTAGTTTTTGATAAAGGTAAGAAGTTATGTAAGAATTTAAATAAAAAAAAATCTGACATTGTCTTACTTGCTTAATTCTGTACATGGTCTTGTTTTTAGTAGGTTTACCCGCTAGACCAAAAAGTCCTTTAGATCCTAAGAAGGATGGAGAGTCTCTTTCATACTCTGTGTTGCCTTTGAGTGATGGTCCGGAAGGCTCACACAGTCGTCCTCAGGTGAGCAGTATGAAACATTGGAGTAGGAAAATTTGAATTGTAGATGAAATGTTTTAACATTTTACAGGTTTATGATTTTTAAAATTAAAGCAGTCTTTAACTGGAACATGATCTTTGAAGTTTGGAGAAGCACATTGGAGTCCCATCTTGCTCCCTGTGGAGCCTTAGATATCATTTATGTTATGTTAAAATCTCCAAGTTACAGTTTCCTCTAATATTAAATGAAATTAATATTACCTATATTGTAAAGTTATTGTTAGGATTCAGTGGGTAGATACATTGAATGTTTCTAGTCCAGTATTTGACACACAGTATTGACCCTAAAAATTACAATGACTTTTGGTGTATAGTGGAATATTAACCAGGATTTAAGGCCTATACTTGTGACCATTAGATGAACCTAACCAGACATGTTAATTTTCCCATTTTAAAAACGATTTTGTTTATTTAAAAGGCAGAGTTACAGAGAGACTGGGAGAGAGAGACAGACCTTCCATCTGCTGGTTCACTCCCCAAATGGCTGTATAGGTCAGGGCTGGGCCAGGCTGAAGCCAGAAGCCAAGAACTCCATTCCAGTGTCCCATGTGAACAGCAGGAGCTGAAGCGCTTGACACATTGTACCTGTTTAGGACATACTACACTACTTTCCAGATCAGAAGTGGAGCAGCAGAGTCAGTGTCCAGAGTCTCGGATGGCGCTGCCACACTGTCATCACCCCCCTGCTTTTTTTTTTTTAAGATTTTATTTATTTATTGAAAGGCAGAGTTAGACTGAGAGAGTTTTCCATTTTGAACTCCCATTTTCTTATTTTCTTTTCTGTAAAATGAAGTTGCTGTCATCTACATCACAGGATTACTAGGATTATAAAATCAAATTAACTACAAGAATGTAAGAGCATTTTATAAATAGTAAAAACTGATGTTTACCTTTAGAAAATAAATTTACTAAAATATGTTGAAATTCTTTAAAAATTTAACAATTTGTATGTTATTTGGCTTTATCAAAAGGTAGTCTTTATTATTGTCCCTTTGACGAAAACCTTGTTTTATGTGCAGATGATAAGAGGCCGCCTTTGTGATGATACCAAACCAGAAACATTTAACCAACTGTGGACTGTTGAAGAACAGGTAATATTTTAAATTGTGTATATTTTAAAAAAAAGTTGTTAATATTAGAGTCAGTGCATTATGAGCCAAGTACATATTGTTTATGGAATCCCTCTTAATCATGAGTTTAAAATATTTAGCTATATTTGTACATACTCTTCTTTACACTAAAAGACTTTTTGGATCTTGAGAATATGTCAACCCCTGTTTGGGGATAATTTTTAAAGGAAGCCTGAGTTTAGGGAGTGGTGTGGAGTAGTTGTTTTGTAATCCAGATTTCTGGGGTTAGGGGGTAGAACATGAGGCCAAGTAAGCAGAACTCAGAGTGCGTTCTTAATTTGTGTGTGGAGGGAATCTGGCAAGGCCATGGCAGTGTTCTCTCACATTCTGGCATACAGTTTAGGATTGTTTTTGGTATTAGGCTAGGATTGTTTGTGGGTGAAGTTTGAGACACATCTGTGACCCATATGGGGATTAACTCCATAGCTATAATGAGTTTAGCAGTTTATAAAAGGCTTTAGGAAACCTTTACTTATTTCAAGCATCCAGATTATTTTCCATATTTAAGACCCTGAAATAATTTAGGAGATGGGTTTTGAATACTTTGAATGGAGAACCACACAAGGAGGGGAAATAGCTCTTAATATTCTAAATCCAAATGAATTTGCATTTTTTGTTAAAAAGTATAGGGGAGAGCCTGGCATATTCCAGCAGGAAAAAGATAGTGGAAATCACTGAGCTGTGTAGAAGACCTGTTTACTTACTTATTTTCTGTTTTCTTGTGCTTTTTAACTTAAGTGAATTAGGTCTTTTTTTTTTTTTTTTTAAGGTTATTTATTATGAAAGAGTTAGAGAGAGGGAGAGACAGAAATTTTTCTTCCGCTGGTTCACTCCCCAATTTGGCTGCAATTTGGCTGCAAAGGCTGGTCAGGCTCCAGGAGCCAGGAACTTCTTCCCAGTCTCCCACGTGGGTGGCAGGGGCCCAAACACTGTTATTCCTAGGCCACTGGCAGGGAGCTAGATCAGAAGTGGAGCAGCCAGGTGTTGAACTGGCATCCATTTGGGATGCTGGCACTGCAGGCAGCAGCTTTACCTGCTATGCCACAGCACCAGCCCCTGAGTCTTATTTTCTAACACAACCCCCAAGTTGTGGAAGGAGGATTACACTTGTATTACAATGTATTACATTGTATGACAATGTATTGTGAATGTATTTATTTATAAATTCAGTATTTCAGATTGAATAGTTGTTTTCTTAAATTTGGTCTTGTGCTTGCTTAGAAAAAACTTGAACAGCTACTCCTGAAATACCCTCCTGAAGAAGTAGAATCTCGACGCTGGCAGAAGATAGCAGATGAACTGGGCAATAGGACGGCAAAACAGGTACTTGAGGAGACAGCTGCGGGTCCTTGGCATGGTTTTGGTAGTTTTTGAATGAAGGCTAGCACAGCTGAATCAGCTGAGCCACCATATCCTTTTTAGCCATGGAGTGCTATAGTATGTGGTGTTAAATAAAAATGTATTTAGTGGCAATTTGAACTTATTCTAGACTTTATGATGAATTTTAAACTGTTAGCGATGATTGATTGACATTTACATTTTAATTTTTAAAAGCTACTTAGATATTCCGTACCATGTCATTATGTTAAAGGGCTTGTCATGTTTCTTTAGGTTGCGAGCCGAGTACAGAAGTATTTCATAAAGTTAACTAAAGCTGGCATTCCAGTCCCAGGCAGAACACCTAACTTATATATATACTCCAAAAAGGTAAACAGAAAATATTTGACAGTAAACTTCAAATTAAATTTATTCAATTTAGAATTGCTATGTAAATGTGTACATATTTGTCAGAGTTGTTTTATTTTAAAAATTATGTTTAGTGTAAGCATTTTATTGGGCGTATGCAAAGGATAGGATTCTATTACTGGTACTCAGTGAAAATCACTGAGCTTTAATGATTCTTCATTACTGATGGTAATACTGAGCTGATGGTAGTGTTATTACTGATGGTAATAATAGTGAGTGTTAATGTTATGGTTGAGTGCTCTGGACCAAGTACTGTGCTATAACCTTTTTATAAATAAGGAAACTGGGATTTAGAGTATGTTGAGTAAATTGGTACCATAGCTAGTGAGTCTGAGAACCACTAAGACTTTTCCTCTTTCCTATGCAGACCACCACATTAAAATGTAACTTGTGTTTTGTTGTAATTACAAAAAATGAAGACAACTAATTTGTTTTCTTTTACTTACTTTAATAAGTCATCCAATGCTGTCATCATCCTTTATTGAAGCTGACTCTTTTATCAGTCTTTTGAAGCTTGTTTGTTTTTTAATTTTTTTGAAGCTTGTTTTAATTTGCCAATTGTTTAAAGATTTTGGATTCCCACCACCCCAAATATAACATTACCTATAAATATATAGATTTTATCTTTTTAACTTCAGAAGGTTGAAACCCTGGTAACCAGTGTTTCAACCTAGTGACTCTAATTATCCTGGTTAATTTCTGGGCTAATTTTTTAGCTGTGTTACGCACTTTTATGTGTTCAATGCTAAGACTGGATGGATACTGGAGAAACCTGATTGTGTTATTTTGTGTATACTGTAGGTTGATATGCATTTTGGCTGTGATGTTAGCACAGCCACAGTCACAATATTTCCTTGCTATGGTCAGAGTTTAAATTTTGACACAGGTGAAATGATTGTTCTCGATGTAGCTGAGTTATTCTTTGTGCCTCTAGTACTGATCATGAGAGGCGGTCTGCATAGAGGTTGAGAGCGAGGGCTTTAGGATCATGTGGACCTGGGTTATAATTCTGGTTCTGCTATCTAACTGCAACACATTAAACAAGATGCTTAACCTTCTGTGCCTCAGTTTCTTCATCATTGAATTAGAGGTGAGAGTAACTGTAAGAATCTTATGTGTAGAAGATAGCATTGGCATAGAGTAAGCAACCAGTGTTAAGTAATTATTTTCAGTTATTCATCTTGGTGTAGAAAGTTTCCTTTTGCTGATTAGTTTCACACCTGGCTTTGGCCACTTAACTCTCTTCTGATCTTCTTTAAGATGACCACAAGAAGAGTTCAGTGCAGCTAATATTTGAATTTCAAAAGTGTGTTAAATATTATGGATACAAATATAAGCTAGACACTGAACCTGTGGTCTATTTTACAAGTGTTGGGGTATTTCCTCTATATCTTTTCCTTTCTTTCTCTCTCTCTTTTTTTGAGATTTATTTATTTGAAAGAGTTACAGAAAGAAAGAGATGGCTGCAATGGCCTGGGCTGGGTAAGGCCTAAGCCAGGGTCCAAAAGCTTTTTCCTGTCTCCCATGTGGCTGCTTGGGCTCAAGATTTTGGGCCATCTTCCACTGCTTTTCCCAGGCCATTAGAAGGATTGAAGTGGAGCAGCTGGGACTTGAAGTTTTGCCCATATGGCATGCTGGTGTCACAGGCTATGGCCTAACTCTCTATACCACAGTGCCATCCCGCCCTGTGGCCCTCCCCCGACTTTAAGGCTAGTTGTGCTTTTAAAATCCAGACAATAGCATCATAAAAGAAGATAGAAATGAAACACATCCAGTAGACTTGCTAAAAGTAACATTTCTATGTTTTTTATATCTTCAGTGACTTTCCTCTGTCTTAATCAATTTATTTTTTCATTTAGTCTTCATCAAGCAGAAGGCAGCACCCCCTTAATAAGCATCTCTTCAAACCTTCCACGTTCATGACTTCTCATGAACCACCAGTGTATATGGATGAAGATGATGACCGATCCTGTTTTCACAGCCATATGAACACTGCTATTGAAGAGGCATCCGTAAGTTATCTATTAGAATACAGAATGAAAGGGCCATAGTTTTCTAATTATTCCTAGTCTTTAGGGAATATTGATTTCTTCTAACAAGTCAGATTTACAGTTTTTTAATGATGTACTCTAAACTTTAAAAAAAAGATTTATTTATTTATTTGAAAGGCAGAGCTGGTTTACTCCCCAGGTGTCCCCAACGGCTGGAGCTGTGCCAATCCAAAGCCAGGAGCCAGGAGCTTCTTCAGGGTCTCCCATGCAGGTGCAGAGGCCCAAGGACTTGGGCCATACTTTACTGCTTTCTCAGGCCCTAGCAGAGAGCTGAATTAGAAGTGGAGCAGCTGGGACTTGAACTGGTGCGCATATGTAATGCCAGCACTGCAGGGAGCAGTTATACCACTATGCTCGCCCACTCTAAACATTTTTTTGTAAAGAAAATTTCAAACATATATACAAGGGGCCGGCACCGTGGCTCACTTGGCTAATCCGCCTGAGGTGCTGGCATCCCATTTGGGCGCTGGTTCTAGTCCAGCTCTCTGCTGTGGGAGGGCAGTGGAGAATGGCCCGAGTGCTTGGGCCCCTGCACCCGCATTGGAGACCAGGAAGAAGCACCTGGCTCCTGGCCTCGGATCGGCGCAGCGCCAGCTGTAGCAGCCATTTGGGGAGTGAACCAATGGAAACAGGAAGACCTTTCTCTCTCTCTCTCATTGCCTATAACTCTACCTGTCAAATAAAAAAGTATATATATACATGAAGAGAGAATAGTATATTCAACCCACATATTCCCATTACCCAACAGTTATAGCTTATGGTGATCTGGTTTTCATTTATTCATTTATTTATTTTTAAAAGGTTATTTATATGAAAGAGTGACATATATATATATATATATAGAGAGAGAGAGAGAGAGAGAGAGAGAGAGATATCTTCTGTCTGCTGATTCACTTCCCTACAACAGCTGGGACAGGACCAGGCTGAAGCCAGGCGCCTAGAACTCTATCCAGGTGTCCCATAGGGTAGCAGGAACTCAAGTACTTGAACCATGATCTGCCGCGTTCACGAGCATTAGCAGGGAGCTAAATCAGAAGTGGAGTAGCTGGGAAGTGGCACTTTGATATGGGATGCGGGCATTGCAAGCAGAAACTTAAACCATTGATTGCTCCACAGTGCTCGTCCCTGGTTTTCATCTAATATTGCCTACACAACCCACTCTGCCCCATGTTATTCTGGAGCATGTCCTGTATGTTTCAAAATATGATTATCATGTCTTTGCAAAGGTAGTTCTTTATGTAATAAAATAGGTAGTGTGTTCACATTTTCCCCAGTCAGGATATCCTAAGTTTGTTTCCTTCAAATTTATTTGTATTGGTTTAGATCCAGATAAAGCCCATAAATTGTAATAGGTTTTTGTGTTCTTGTGCTCTTTTTTTCTATTTGCCCCTCATACTCTTTTTGTTGAAGAAGTGGGTCATTTTGTGCTGCAGAATTTACCACATTATGAATTTTATTGTTTGAGTATCCTTCATGTGTGTTTTTAAATAAATGTTTAAAAATTTTATTTATTTACTTAGAGTGCTTCTGTGTGCTGGTTCATTCTCAAATGCCCTCAATAGCCAGGGTTGGGCCAGCCAAAGCCAGGAGCCTGAAACTCATCTGTGTCTCCTACAAGCACTTGGACCATCACCTGGAGGGTGTGCATTAGTGAGAAACTAGACTTGGAAGCAGAGGCAGAACTCAAACCCAGGCACTCCAATATGAGATGTGGGAATGTCAAGTGACATGTTAACTTCTGTGCCAGATGCCTGTTCCTTTCCTGTCATGTAACTTGTTCCTCCTCTTCTTGAATTTCCTCTAAATTGACAGGTCTAGAGAATTGATGAGATTCATGTGTGTTTGTTAGAATGGGCAGGACTACTTCATGTATTCATTCATCTGTCTAATTCTTTGTCTTTTTTCTTTTTTTTTTTTTTTAAGATTTATTTTATTTATTTGAAAGTCAGAGTTACACAGAGAGAGGAGAGGCAGAGAGAGAGAGAAAGAGAGAGAGAGAGAGAGAGAGAGGTCTTCCATCCGTTGGTTCACTCCCCAGATGGCCACAATGGGCAGAGTTGTGCCGATCCGAAGCCAGGAGCCAGGAGCTTCTTCTGGGTCTCCCACGTGGGTGCAGGGACCCAAGCACTTGGGCCATCTTCTACTGCTTTCCCAGGCCACAGCAGAGAGCTGGATCGGAAGAGAGCAGCCGGGACTAGAACCGGCGCCCATATGGGATGCTGACACTTCAGGCCAGGGCGTTAGCGCAGTGTGCCACAGCAGTGACCCCTCTTTCTCTTTTTTGACATAGCAGTCACTAACCATTGTGTTGGTCATTTAGTTTATTAAATATTATAAAATCATGATATTATATCATTTATTTGAGGGAATGTTCTATAAAGTAAGCCTCTTACCAACGTATTTGAAGGTACATATAGGAAAGGCATAATACTTTCTTGATTCTTTTACTTTATTATTTTTAAAATAATGAGTTAATTTGTCTTTTATCCTCCAAAGGTGACTGACGAACTTAAAGATTGGTGTTCTTATCTTTCATTTGCAGTTCATTGAAACAACACTGTTTGATCATTTGGAGACTAGTCAAGTTGACTTCTAAATTCTTATAATAAGTCTCTACTAGTGTTTAATAGCTTCCTTAATACTGTTTTGAAAAGGAAGACAGAGTCTCATCATGTGTATTTCCTGCCTTAGATCTAGAGTCAGTCCTGTTTTCTTTTATTGGGAATGGTATTTAGAGATTACATCCTGACTCTAGGACTGTTGCATGCTGCTGGATTGATTATTGTTTCTAGATCTGTTTACTGGATAGATCTGGAAAGTATATAGTGTTTTGTTTTAAGGTTGAAAGTCATTATAATCATGTGAATATTTTCATTTGAAGTTCAGTTTAAGAACTATAAGGTTTAACTCACTTTGCTTATCTTAAAAATGTGTCTGCTTTCCCCCGTGCAACAATCTATGTTTCCCAGGATATCAGCATCTTACTTTGTCGCCCACTACTCACAACAGTTTCAGAATACATACTACTAACACTACCATCAACCAAGGATTACTGAAAGCCAGTTTTTTTTCAGGCCTTTTTTTCTACCTTAGAATGTATCTTGCTACAGAAGTAAATTACATGAAATTAAGTTTTAAATAATTTTGGAATAATAATTGCTATCTGTATTGTTAACAATTAAATGCTAATTTTTGTTAATTCATTTCATTTGCTTTTCACTCATAAAGATTCCTTTTTGTTGCTGTTAATACTTTTTATTATTTTACTATTCCTGAAACTGCATTTTGTTGAGTTCCTAATGTTTTTCTCATTCCTTCATTAATGAACATAAAGGTTACTTTATATCTTTCTTAATTCTCTGATTATATGTGTATGGAAAAGGAGATTTTAATGAAAAGTCAGTAAATAAATGAACTCCTTTACTCTGTTTCTAGACTACTCAAGTATTGATTATATTATTTGCCTTTTATACTTGTTTTTAGAAAAATGGCTAATATCTGATATATCAAGGCATCTGTATGATTTATACTTATTATGATGGGAGAATTTTTTTTATTTTTAAAAGAGATTTAGTTATTTGAAAAGCAGAGTGACAGAGAGTGGGGAAAAGAGATCTTATGTTCACTACTCAAATGGCTGCAATAGACAGGTTAGGCCAGGCCAAAGCCAGCTGACGGCACTCCATCCTGGTCTCTCACATGGATGGCAGGGACCCATGAACTTGGGCCATCCTCCACTGGCTTCCCAGGTACAGTAGTAGGAGCAGAATTGGAAGTGGAGTAGCCTGAACTACTGTGACACAAGTGGTAGCTTAACCCACTGAGCCACAAGGCCAACCCCAAGAGAAATATTTATTTTAACCTTCAATATATTGGGCCCTGCTAGGATTCAGATACTTAGTTATGGACACCAGAAGTATTTTATTTTTTATTTTTTATTTTTATTTTTGACAGGCAGAGTGGACAGAGAGAGAGAGAGAGAAAGGTCTTCCTTTTGCCGTTGGTTCACCCTCCAATGGCCACCACGGCCGGCGCACCGTGCTGATCCGAAGCCAGGAGCCAAGTGCTTCTCCTGGTCTCCCATGGGGTGCAGGGCCCAAGGACTTGGGCCATTCTCCACTGCACTCCTGGGCCACAGCAGAGAGCTGGCCTGGAAGAGGTGCAACCAGGACACAATCCGGCGCCCCGACCGGGACTAGAACCCGGTGTGCTGGCACCGCAAGGCGGAGGATTAGCCTATTGAGCCACGGCGCCGGCGGACACAAGAAGTATTAGGAAGTATTATCTTTGTGTTCATAGATCTTTGTCTTAAAGGAAAGAAAAATGCATAAGCACATCAACAAATGACAAATTTTCAAAAGTGCTTCAAGGGAAAAATAAGTGCTATCATATTTATTTAAGAAGTACTTAGATTGGGAGTTCAAATGGAAGACCTGGCAGAGTGACAGTGAAGATGATACTTGAAGGATGAATAAAAATTAGTCAAATGAGCAGTGGTAGTAGAATAGTTGCAAGAAGTATGTTTTGATAGAATTGATAAAATATAGTAGATTCAATTTAATTTAACCTTTTTGGTGTTGATTTTTTTTTAAATGAGCCAGAAGTGTAGAATGGAAAATTTGTACATTTCAGTTTATCTTTGCAAAAGAGCAGTAGCTAGAGAGATTAAATGTGTGTAATTTATTCTACAGTTTGAAACCCTTATACCACTTTAGTCCCGTTTATGATATCTCCCTTCTAAGTAAATTTAAAATGATTATGACTAGGAAATCTGTTCATGAGAGAGGATTTAAAAAAATTTTAATTGTAAAATACACAGAATATAAAATGTACTGATATTTACCATTTTTAAGTATGTAGTACCGTAGTGTTAAATATATTTGCATTATCATGTAACCATTAACAGAACTATCTTTGTCCTATAAAACTGAAACTCTGAACCTATGAAACATTTCTTTATTCACCTCTCCTCCGGCCCCTGTCTTCCACTATTCTATTTTCTGTGTCGGTGAATTGGACTGCTGTAGGTACCTCATATAAGTGGAAGTATGCAATTAGCCCTCCCTAGCCATAGGTTTCACATCTGCAGTCAACCAGCTGTGGATTGAAAATAATTTGGGGGCAGCGCTAGCACACCAGGTTCTAGTCCCGATCGGGGCGCTGGATTGTGTCCTGGTTACCCCTCTTCCAGGCCAGCTCTCTGCTGTGGCCCGGGAGTGCAGTGGAGGATGGCCCAAGTACTTGGGCCCTGCACCCCATGGGAGACCAGGAGAAGCACCTGGCTCCTGCCATCGGATCAGCACGGTGCACCGGCCGCGGTGGCCATTGGAGGGTGAACCAACAGCAAAAGGAAGACCTTTCTCTCTGTCTCTCTCTCTCACTGTCCACTCTGCCTGGCAAAAAATAAATAAATAAATAAATAAAAATTTGAAAAAAAGAAAATAATTGAGGAGAAAAAAATTGCATCTGTACTGACTATTACAGGCTTTTTTTCTTGTTATTCTCTTCACAGCATTTATGTTGCATTAGGTATTGTAATAATGTAGAGAAGATTCAGAGTATATGGGAGGATTGTATAGGTTATTTGCAAATAGTATGCCATTTTATATTGGAGGCTTCAGCATCTTTGAAGTTTGGTGTCCACAAGGCATTCCTGGAATCAGCTCCCTTCTGGAGTCTGAGGATGGCTATATAATATTTGTCCTTTGTGACTGGCTTATTTCACTTAGCACAGTGTCTGCAAAGTTTATGCATTTTGTGGAATGTATCGCAATTTCTTTCTCCTTAAGACTAAATAATACTCTGTTATGTATACCACATTTTGTTTATTTCTTCATCTGTTGATGGGTAGTTGGATTTCTTCTATCTTTTGGTATCTTGAATGATGTTGCTGTGCTTTCAATTTTTTGGGAGGTATAGATCAGAAGTTGAATTGCTAGATTGTATTGTAATTCTATGGGTTTTTACATTAATTAATTAATTAGAACGGCAGAGAAAACCCCTTACCTGTTGGCTCACTCAGCAGTAACCCACAATAGCCAGGCCTGGGCCAGGACAAAGCCAGGAGTGGGGAACTCAGTCCAAGTCTCCCATGTGGGTGGCAGGGACTTAACCACTTACCTGCCACCTCTCAGGATATGCATTAGTAGGAAGCTGGAATCAGAAGTAGAGCTGGGACCCAAACCTAAGCACTCTGATGTGGGATGCCGATATCCCAAGTGGTGTCTTAACCTCTGCCTGCTCTTACTTTTGTTTTTGATAGTAACCATCCAGTTCGATGTGATATGATGTAACTTTTCTGAGTTGTGGTGACCAAATTTCATAATATCCTTACAGGGCTGGTGCTATGGTAGAGCAAATTAAGCTTCTGGTTAAGCCTCCCACATTGTGTATCAGAGTACCTGAGATTGAGTCCTGCCTCTTCTTTTAATCTAGCTTCCTGCCGATGCACCTGGGAGGCGGCATGCGATGGCCCAAGTACTTAGATTCCTGCCACCATGTGGGAGACTTGGATGGAGTTCCTGGCTCCTAGATTCAGCCTGGCCCAACCCCAACTGTTGTTGATATCTGGGGAGTAACCCAGTAGATGGAAGATCTCCTCTCCATCATTCTGTCTTTCGTATAAATAAATAAATAGTTTTAAAAAAAACATTCTTAGATTTAAAATGCAAATTTAAAAGTTATAAGTATGTGTACTCTTTGCTTTTGCTTAAAACATCTGAGTTATTAAATTTAATTATAACATTTCTTACCCTATTTAATCATTTGAGCTACACCATATTTGTTTATACTATTACTTATGTTGTCTTTCTTAGTGGTGACATGCGAAGGTAAAAATTATTTAAAAACTTGAATTGACAAGAATTTGAAATGGGTGAAAGATAAAGATAAGGTAAAATGTGAAACTGTAAAGAATCTTTTATCCAGCTGCTTACGATAGATAGTTGGGAAACCACTGGGAGATTTTTAAGTAGTGGTGTGAACAGAGGACCAATCTGAGAAAGATTTTAGAAAGTATTAAGTACTGACAAGATTTGTTGGATTAGATTTACGAGTGAAAACATTAGGATAATTCTTAGATTTCTACCATGGGCTGCTGAGTGTTGAGACAAATTTAGGTTCAAATTACCCAACTCTGCAAATAATTAACTTTATGACATTGGACAAGTGTTATAATTGCTATAAATGTCAATTTCCTTGATGTAAAGTGAGCATAGTAGTTAATAGTTCCAAACAAAGCAGGGGAAATGAGAGGGGTTGGGTTGTTTGATTCAGGGTTAGAAAGCAGTGGAGTAAGGGTGAGTGAGTTGGGGATGCTTTTAGGAAATGGATGTCCATGCAACCAGACATTAGGTAGCAAAGGAAAGGATTGGATGCGGGGTGACAGAACATGGAATATAGAAAGAAGATACTGAGTAGAAATTGCAGTGGGGTTTTAAAAAACGTTATTTGCAGTGAGACAGTAAAGAAGAGGACAAAATGATCACATTGTGGGTGGGAAAATCTAAACTTTGTATTTTGGACATAAAATTCTTCCAGTGGAAGGAGGGTCCACAGTATCGCTGCTAGAGTGGGAGCCTGAGATGGGATGGAGAACTGGTATAAGAATGGATGCTAGAAATAGGGGACTGGGTGACTGTGGAGGTTCTGAAGTTGCCCACAATGACAAAAAGCATTCTCAGAATTTTTAAGATTTATTTATTTATTTGAAAGGCAGAGTTGCAGAGAGAGAGAAAGAGGGGGAGGGGAAAAGAGAGAGAAAGAGATACATCTTCCATCTGCTGGTTTACTTCCAATTGCTTGCTACCCACATAGGGGAACAATTTGGAGTTCTAGGTTCCTAGCTTCTGCCTGGCCCAGCTCTGGCTGTTGCAGATTTAGGGGAGTGAACCAGCAGATGGAAGACCTTTCTCTCTGTCTCTTTATCTCTCTCTCTAACTGCCTTTGTTTCTTTTTCTTTTTTTTTTTTCTTTTTTTTTTTTTTTCTTTTTTGACAGGCAGAGTGGACAGTGAGAGAGAGAGACAGAGAGTAAGGTCTTCCTTTTGCAGTTGGTTCACCCTCCAATGGCTGCCGCGGCCGGCGCACCACGCTGATCAGAAGGCAGGAGCCAGGTGCTTCTCCTGGTCTCCCATGGGGTGCAGGGCCCAAGTACTTGGGCCATCCTCCACTGCACTCCCTGGCCACAGCAGAGAGCTGGCCTGGAAGAGGGGCAACCGAGACAGAATCCAGTGCCCCGACCGGGACTAGAACCCGTTGTGCCGGCGCCGCAAGGTGGAGGATTAGCCTAGTGAGCCGCAGCGCCGGCCTCTAACTGCCTTTCAACAACAGCAAAAAAGTCCTCCAAAACTGTTAGTGTCAAATATTGCTAATGTGTCACTAATTTTATTTAAATGTTGAAAGGTAAGTTATCTTAAAAGTGAAAAAAAGGGAAATTATCTTAAAAGTGAAAAATAAGATCTTGCAAATAGAAAGAGACTCTGTATCAATATTTCTTAAACTAGTTCATTATAATTATCAAACTAACATTTTTGTGTTCTGGTTTGTTCTTTTCAAAAGGATGAAGAAAGTATTCCTATTATGTATAGGAATTTACCTGAATATAAAGAACTACTACAGTTTAAAAAGTTAAAGAAGCAGAAACTTCAGCAAATGCAGGCTGAAAGTGGATTTGTGCAGCATGTTGGCTTCAAGGTAAATTTTGCCTAATCTTCCTATTTAATTTTTGAAAAGTGATATACTTTAAAATGGTTCCTGCCAGTTGAACTCTAAAATTCGCAAGCATACAAGGAGAAGTCAATAAGTTTATCTTGTCTTACTGGTTTACACAAAGTAGCATGCCAGCGTTCACGATGTCAAGAGAAGTATGATTGAGTAGAAAGAAGACAAACATGCAGCTATCTAGAATATGAGGTAGATTATTGTGTGGTGGTTTATCTTTTGGTTGCTGTTGTGCATGGATCAGTAAAATTTTTTTCCCCTTTCAAGTTGCTTGCTCATTATCCCGTTATATAAAATATAGGTCCTGCCCTTATGCTGTTTTCATTCTCATAAGGAATTTAGGGAAGTGAAACAAAGCAATTAAGTACAACTACAGTGCCGCCTAGAGACTAGTCAGACTGTTCAGATGCCTTGGAAATTTTGTCAAGGAGCTTATTGTATCCTAAAAGTTTGGGAATTGAGAGGTTTCATGCAGAGTATAACATGAAATTTGTGTTTCAGAAAGATCCTTCTATTTACATAAACTATTATTGTTGATAACTTTTAGGAAGGCAGAGGGTTTAGAACTGAACAGCTCTTAGTATCTGTTATATTGTTAAATACCATAGAACAATGAATTCAGTTGTGTTATTTAATGCACTTAGAAAACAATGTAAAGGGGACAAAAAGATTTTTCTGGGTGTAGTATGGAGGCTGGATTCGAGGAAGGTAAGTCTGGAGGCAAGGACACTATTCAGAGGTTCCTTTGTAAATTTAGACAAAAGATGAGGGTATCTTGAACTTAACTGGTGGATATGAAAATACAGAGAGGTTGACAGATTTGGGAAAGCTTTAGGTGGTAGAGCTGACTTGCTTGATTAAATTAGAGGAAGTGATAATGGGGCTGTGAACTTGGTGGTGGTGGTAGTATACATAGAAGAATATGTGCTGTGGGGCCAGTGCTGTGGTGCAGCCGGTTAAAGCCCTGGCCTGAGGCACCGGTATCCCATACGGGCTCCAGTTCTAGTCCTGGCTGCTCCTCTTCCTATCCGGCTCTCTGCCATGGCCTGGGAGAGTAGTGGAGGACAGCTCAAGTCCTTGGGCCCCTGCACCCACCCCTAGCTCCTGGCTTTGGATCGGCGCATCTCTGGCCGTGGCGGCCATCTGGGAAGTGAACCAGCGAATAGAAGACCTCTTTCTCAGTCTCTACCTCTCTCTCTGTAACTCTGTCTTTCAAATAAATAAAATAAATCTTAAAAATATAAAGAAGTACATGTGCTGTGTTGCTGAGAAAGTAAAGTGAAAACAAAATTATACCTCTGGCCCCTTGGAGCAGCTATTAGCCGTAATATATTAAATGATTTTTCCTGCTTGATCATTCATTCTCTGACCCTCCTTTTTCCATTACATTTTGTTAACCAGCAGCTCTCACCTTTCAAAGGAAAAACGCTCCATTTCTCAAAACAAAACTTGCAAAACCCAACCATGGCTTGTTTCTAAGTTTCTCTGCCACTCTGGTTGGCCTGATGATCAAAGAAACAAGAAATGGGATTGATTTTCATTTCCCCAGAATTGCACAGAAAACACTGAGCTATCAAATCCCACCATGGGCCGGTGCTGCAGCTCAATAGGCTAATCCTCTGCCTGCGGCGCTGGCACACCGAGTTCTAGTCCCGGTCGGGGTGCCAGATTCTATCCCGGGTTGCCCCTCTTCCAGTCCAGCTCTCTGCTGTGGCCCGGGAGTGCAGTGGAGGATGGCTCAAGTCTTTGGGCCCTGTACCCGCATGGGAGACCAGGAGAAGCTCCTGGCTCCTGACTTCGGATCAGCGGGCCGCAGCAGCCATTGGAGGGTGAACCAACTGCAAAAGAAGACCTTTCTCTCTGTCTCTCTCACTGTCCACTCTGCCTGTCAAGATATAATGTAGAAAAAAAAAAAAATCCCACCATGTACGAAAGAGCTGAATCTGTCTTTTTGTCATGATAGATATTGGTTATTAAGTAAGGTAGGATTTCATGGTTACTTTTGTTTATGTTATCTGTGTTAACCTATCAAAACAGTTTTGTAATGTATTTGGATCATTTTAATTATAATAGTGCGTTAGTGTTTTTCAACACTGGCCGGCCTGAGTACCTAAACAAATGCCCAAGTTTGAGAGATTTAATTTAAAAATTTTTGATAGGTTTAATATGTTAAAGATTATTCCTTGCAATGTGCTTCTTACTCACCTGGGTCTTGATCTTGAGTTGCTGGAATTTTACCTAGTTTGCTGGAAATTATATCTAACTGACAACCTTTTGTGTTATTCTACTCTGCAGAGCATGGGGAGCAAGGAGAAGGAGTCTTGGCACATCACATGTTTCTCTGCAGAAAATGAAAAAGCTTGTGAAATGCTGTAACTTAACAGTTTTCCCTCTCTGAATCTGTTCTAGTGTGATAACTGTGGCATAGAACCTATCCAGGGTGTTCGGTGGCACTGCCAGGATTGTCCTCCAGAAATGTCTTTGGATTTCTGTGATTCTTGTTCTGACTGGTAAGTGTTCTGACAAGGAAAGAGCTTTTCAGTCAATTTGATCTCTAAGCTTAGAAAATAGCCATGCTTAGTGAATTAAACTTTGTTCTAAGCAATTAAAATTTATCATAGCACATCTCAGATAACTTTCCATTTGAGATGTTGATAGATTAGTGGATTTAAACAGAGCTGTGAGAAAGCGTTGTAATACATAAACTGAATTGTACCCAGTGGCATGTAATGATATGTTCCTGTGTGTTTTCTTTGCAGCCTACATGAAACAGAAATCCACAAGGAAGATCACCAATTAGAACCTATTTATAGGTCAGAGACATTCTTAGACAGAGACTACTGTGTGTCCCAGGGCACCAGTTATAATTACCTGGACCCCAACTACTTTCCAGCAAACAGATGACATGGAAGAGAACATCATTTCCTAGTCCTCTTCGACACATAGCAATGGTATCATTGTTAAGTATGTGCACAGTTTGGAAAGATTCTCTGCTTTCCCTGAAATGACACTCACAGCATGAGAGCTTCCTGAGTGTTCTCGTCAAGTACAGCTCTGCACGGTTGTGGCTCTAGATCACTGCCCAGCAGCTGAACATTCCTGGTGAGCAAAGGGTTTCCCTGGTGAATTTCTCACCACCACCTTGAAAGCCTTTAGGTGGTGATCTCAAATGGGCGAGATGGAAACGAGAGCACACATTAAAGTGAGAGTAAATTCCAAAGGTTTCAGAGAACTTGATCACAAGTATGATAAGGAGAAGACAAAAAGTATTTATATTAAAGCAGTTTAGTAGCTTTCAGTTTTGTGAAAATAGTTTTCAGCACAGAAACTGACTTCTTTAGACAAAGTTTTAACCAATGACGGTGTTTGCTTCTAGGATATCCACTTTAAAAGAACTCACTGTCCCAGTGGTGGTCGTTGATGGCCTTTAGTAAATTGGAGCTGCTTAACCATATTGATATCTAATTTCTTTTAACCACAATGAACTGTCCTTCTTACCAACAGCGAAGCACTACAGGAAGCAACTGTGGCACTGCTTCCTTAACCAGCTCGTGGTGTGTGAATGTTACAAAGTCGTCACTCAGATATATTTTTTAAATGTAATGTTAAATAAGATGATCATGTGATGTGTACAGACTATGGTGAAAGTGCCAGTGGTAGTGACTGTGTAAAGTCTAATTCACAACATTGATTCCTTTAAAATACACAGCCTTCTGCCTCTGTATTTGGAGTTGTCAGTACAACTCATCAAAGAAACTGCCTAATATAAAATCATATATATGGTAATAATTTCCCTCTTTTGTAGTCTGCACAAGATCCATAAAAGATTGTATTTTTATTACTATTTAAACAAGTGATTAAATTTAGTCTGCGCAGTGAGCAAGAGTTCACCTGCATTCTTTTATACTGCTGGATTTTGTTGTGTATCATTTAAAACATTTTGTATGTTTCTTCTTATCTGTATACAGTATGTTCTTGAATAATGTTCATTTGTCAGGAGAACTGTGAGAAATAAACTATGTGGATACTGTCTGTTTATATTATAGAATGCTTGTTGTGACTTCCTTTTGCTTAGGTTTTGGATGTTTTACCAGTGTTAAAACCAGAAATTAGAATTTTTAGGGGGTTTACTTCACATATATAAAGGGGCTTCTTTCAGTCCTTTGTAAAGAGTAAAGAATATGTGATGGAAAAAGTGAACTTGCAAAGTCCTGTGGAAGATGCTCCTGTTTTCAGTCCGCGTGTGCTGAAACAGTATATTAGTTTACCATAAAAAGGGGTCGGGGGGAAAGAAAGAAATAGAGGCCACGGTTAAAGAAGAAGGCAGTTATCAATGCCCAGATGTGAAAACTAAGCTTAAAATTGAAAATTTTTATTCCAGTTATTCTTGATGAAATTTAAGACCCCACATATTTAAATACATGGTTTTGAAAATCACCTTGTTTTCTGACTTTAGGAAAAAATAAGTATAAATATTTTAAGGTGGAGTAGGTATTATACTTCACCTGATATTTAAGACTCCTTGTTTTAAATCTTGGGGACATTATTTACTAGTTCTCCTCAACACACAGCAGTATACTAAAATCATACCCTGAAACTTTTAAATTGAGAAAAGTAATGTAATTTCAAATAAAGGACTGAGAATTTTAAAGATCATTAATGATATTGATATAATGTAATTGGAGAGGAAAGTAAATGTACTCTGGAATTCCTGTGGAGGAGCAGAGTGGCACTTGGGACATTTTGATACTAACCGTTACATCTGCCCAAATACCTGCCTTGAACCTGTGATTGGGCAAGACAGCAGCAATTGATGGTAACTTCTATGTTTGTGCAGATATAATAGTAATTAATTTTGGAGAGCCAATCAGATACAAAGTCTCATCAAGTATGAACAATGCTTTGGAAAAGGATTGTGACGTGATTGTTGTATAAACAAAGTAGACAAACCCACTTTGAGGCTGAGGATTTTTGTCTTTGGAGTGGTAAGAGGAGTTATTTTCTGCTTCAGCCAGATGTGTTTGTTTTGAGCTCTAAACAAATAGCCTCCAGTGCTGTCAAAAGGCCCCTAAGGACAGTAGAAGTAATACTTCATTGTTTTAAGTTTAGGGTTGCATGAATGCACAGGGCTGTCATTTATAAGTTGGCCTCCCATCTGCCTAACAAAAGTATTGGCTGTAAGAAACATACTTGTTAAAGCATTGCGTATTAAATGGTATTCACTATGTTAGTTCAGTTTCCTGATATATTATGTTCAAGTTATTTGCTAATAACTGAAGATACTTTTAATGAGACTTAAAACTACTGCTATAAGGTTTAGGCAGGGGAGGTATCCTTTGGTGTGATGCACTATTTATGATAGCAAACACTGACAAGAGAGCTTACTGTGTGCCAAGCAAGCATGCAGTAATTAACTTGGTTCTTAACAACCATATGAGGCAGGTGCATTTACTATCCTGTTTTCTTACAAGGACCTGAATCTAAGAGAGATGAAATCACTTGTCCAAGGAAGATCATAAAGTTAGTAAAGTGGTGATGCTTGGACCTTAACCCAGGCAGATTACTCTAGCGTCAGTGTTGGCCTCACTGCCCAACTTCCCAAGCAAGAATATTCCCTTGGTCAGGCTCTGGTGTTAGGAGTGGAGATGTGCAGGAGATGTGCAGGTCTCCTTATGTCAGCTGGTTCCTAGAGTACAAACCTGAGCCTATGTCCAGGCTGGAAGCACAAGATAGAGACCCTGTAATGCTCAGCCATTGTGAATTAGGAGACCGCTTGCATGGCCTAATAATAGCCTTTATCCATTTTCCTTCCTTCTCCCTGGTTTACATTATTGAACATAACAATTTATTGAGACTTGACGAACATTTTTAAAAAATGAAATAGACAAAATAGTGGTTGTGTGTGTGTGTACATGTAGTAAGTATTGTTTTGTGAAGTTTCTCTTTCAGTTAAAAGTGCTGTGTATCTCACTGTAGATAAAAAATTTTGAAGTCTGTTGATGCAGGTACATTGGATAGAATGGGGAGTCTCTAGGTAACAAGTGGGTTTTCCCACAAGATTGTGAAGACATTGTCCTTTTTTGAAATAAAAGATTTGTTTGTTTATTTGAAAGGCAGAGAGATAGCCTTAACAGCCAGAGTTGGGCCAGGTCAAAGCCAGGAACCTGGAACTTCAGCCAGGTCTCCTACATGGATGGCTGGTGCCCAGATACTGGGGCCATCTTCTGTTGCTTTCCCAGGCGCATTAGCAGGGAGCTGGATTGGAATTGGAGCGGTCAGGACTCGGACTGTGGCTCATATGGGCTGCCCGTGCCGCTGTGACACCTTAACCCGCTACACCGCACCTGGCAGTGTCCTTTTTGGACCGTAAAGCATTACTTTTATTTCTTAACCTTGATGAAGAATGTGCTGCTGTTTTCATGGTCCCAAACAAAAACCTACCTTTTTCCCCCCATAGTTCATGTAGCTGTTTAAATGGATTTTGGAGAATTGTGGCACGAGAGCTCCATAAGAACAGAGACCATCCATGTCTGTACCTCTGGGGCCTTTTTTTTTTTTTTTTTTTTTTTTTTAATAGATTCTCTGTATTTGTTGGTTGTATGACCAAGGTTTTGGTGAGCTCATTCCTCTCAGAAGTTAGTAGATAACATATACATGTGCCTGAGTGTGTCTGTTCCTCAGAGGGCTTGCCTTGGGAAATGTCCTTTCCAGGGCCGTGAGAGGACAGGGAATCCCAGCCGATCTTACTTGGGGCATGTGCTTCAGCCCTACAGGGCTGAGATAGTTTTGGTCTCCTGTGGGACTTCAGTTAGGCCATGTGTCTTAATTCTCTGCCATGTCTTTTTTTGTTTAAGATTTTTCATTTCTTTGAGAGGTAGAGTTACATACAGAGGGAGGGAGAGACAGAAAGGCCTTCCATCTACTGGTTCACTCCCCAAATGGCCACAGTGGCTGGATCTAGGTTGATCTAAAGCCAGGAGCCAGGAGCTTCTTTTGGGTCTCCCATGTCGGTGCAGGGGCCCAAGCACTTGGGTCATCTTTGACAGTTTTCCCAGGCCATAGCAGAGAGCTGGGTTGCAAAAGGAGCATCCGGGTCTTTAACCAGCACCCATATGGGATGCCAGTGCTGCAGGAGGAGGCTTGGCTCACTATGCCATGGCACTGGCCTTCTGCCTTGTCTTTAAGGTGATGTAATAGAAGGGACACTGGAGTAGAAATTCCAGTCCTGGTCCCAGTTGTGGAAGTGAAACTCAAATGTATATAGAGAACCACCTTTCACTGAGCACTGAGTAGTAGTAAGTGATTTCCAAATATTGTGAACTCGGTTAATCCTGTGAGGGTGTGGTTTCCATTGTACAGATGGGAAAACTGGAGGCACGGAATTTGAACGTGTTTGCTGTCAGTAATCAGTACTATTTGTGGGAGGCTGGTGATGCAGAGCCCTGACTGGACAAGGCTTATGCATAAGTCTAATGCAGAAGACTAGCCATGAACAAACAAAAATACTAACCTTGCAGCAATAAAATCTGTTGGAAAAATAATCTCGAAGAAAAAAAATACTGGAAGAATGGGAAACAGCCTGCCATTTTAGACGGAATAATTAATGAAAGCCTTGACAAGGGCAGATTTGGACAGAGATCCAAGTGAAGAGAGCAAATTTGTTGTGTGGATGTAAGGCAGGCTTGAAGGAAGGGCCTTGGCACCAGTGAGGGGTTTGTCTTGTTCGAGCAACATGAGGATGGCCAGTGTCGCTGGAGCCAGGTGAGAGGGGAAAGTAGTTGATGGGGTCAGAAGCCCCGCCCAGGCATGGCCTTGAATGTGGATCACTCTAAAGGAATTTGTGTGTTCTCATGTCTTCTAGACACACATGAAGTCCTTTGCTAGACAGAGAGCCCGAGGTCATTTCCTGTTTTAAAGTCCTATGACTCTGAATTAGTGCTGCCATTTCAAGCCTTTCAGATCAGAAACGTGTTCTGGCAGTTCTGTGGAAGACCTAATTTGCAACCCAAGACATTCTTCAAGGGTAAAGCCGTTGGCCCTGCTGATTCGGCTCATTTCCTTTTCCCTACACAGTCACAGCTGCGGTGGGCAGGCACTGTGTTTGCTGAAATGTGGCATGTGTTTGAAGAATGTTAATCCCTATAAAGAGTCATTGTATGTTTTCTGGCACAACCGATAATTTTCATCCTGTAACACTTTTCTTTCTAATTTGCTCAGATACTCCTGCTCCCCTATAAAGAGGGTGACAACTTGGGGTAGTAATCAAGGAGTTGATGAATATGTGAGTGGTGGCAACATGCCCCTTTGTATTAACAGAGGCATAATTGTAACCAAAGAAATTTAATTTCTTCTCTAGCACTGGTTTTTCTGTTTAAGAATGAAGGCTAGAGAAAAAGTAAATATGAAAATTACCATGTATCATGAATACATTAAGGATTCCATCTGTAATAGCTCAAGATTGATCTATGACCAAAATTAAAACCAGATGAACATAGCAGAAATCTCAGTTATTACTGTGTTTGCTTCTAATTCTGTTTGGAATAAGGCTTCAAATGCTTCCCAGAATGATGTAAGTTATAAATAAATGAAAAAGCTTTATCCTGTCTTCCATTTATTTTATTTATACATATCCATTTCAAGAAAAAAAAATGACTTTTAAAAATACAATTCTGTCCTGGAAATGGATTCTTATCTGCACAACCACTGAAGAAAAAAATCATGCAAACTGAAACTATGGTCCTTTGTAATGACGGCGTAGAAGATGCAGTTATTTCATTAGGATACCTAAGAAGCTGTGGTCTGACACGTGGTAGCACAGGTGAGAACCCAGACTTCACTGGTTGGATGCAAGGTTGTAAAGCCCTGGGAAAGGCCCCTGTGAAACAAGTACAACACTAGAATTTGTGCACACCCTCTTAACAGGCCCTCCAACCCACATAGTTTTGTTATTACTGTATTTGTAGCTTGCTTGGCAATAAGTAAACAGTTGATAATTACAAATCAAAATTATAAGTTGGTATTTGTCCAGTAAATAACAAGTCATCTCAGGTTTTCAAATTATTTGTGGTCATTGATAGTCATTTATAATTGCTGAAATTACAACACCATGTAGAGAGGCGACTAGGTTATACAATCTGTCAAACTTGTTCTCTTAGCCATTATGAGAGTATCCCAAGTGGCCAGTTTCCTAAAAGTAAATACAGAATGTTATTTACGACTAATCTGGGACTTGCTGTCTTGGAAATGGCAGTTTCACTTAAAAAAAATTCTGTCAAGTTTTACTTGCTTGATGCCCCCCACCACCACCACCACAGCGTACATGCCATCTTCTAGTCAACCCCCCTCTGTCTCTGAGCCACTGGTGGATGAGAGAGGAGACTCAGCCGCCAGAGCACGCATGCCCGGGGCCGCCCCCACCGTGAGGACCTTCAGGGAACAGTGTAGGAATCCTGCAGGGACAGGAAGATGGGAGAGGGGATTAAGGGTGTTGAACCAAATGATCAGGACTCCAGCAGGTCCTGGGGGCATGACTGGCCCGTCCTGACTTGGCTCTGAGCTGCAGACTAAACGATAGAAACTGTGTGTGCTGTGAGGACAGCTCTCCTGAAGCGGGAAGAAAGGCTGATAGTCCCAAAGACACCATGCGTGATTTCCAGACACCTCTCACACAGGTCTGGCTGAGAAGCAAACACTGATGTCAGGAGGGGAGAGCACAAAAGGTTTAACTTGAAACACTGTGTTAAGGGATGGACCTTTACTGGCTTTCTCTGTTTCCACTCTTCTTAACATGCATTGTTGCCTTCAGAAAATAGAGTCAATAGCTGCACAAAGCCGAAGAAAAACTTCCTCTGGCGTTCCTTCAGCGTTTATCTGTATTTAAAAGGAAAGGAAGGTACAGTTACACTTAAGAAATAAGTCACTTTTAATAATGAGGGAAAAGATCACCTGCTTGAATAATTTGCTCAACAAAATTTAAAAACACAAAATCCACAGAGAAAATGGTGAAGTGTCATTGCTTAGTAAGTAGGTGCCCAAAATAACACAGCAGGTATTTCACTTCACACCTGTTAGAATGGACCACATTAGAAACAATGACAACATCAAAAGCTGGCAAGGACTACCAGCAACAGGAACTCTTACTGCTGGTGGATACTAGCACCTTGGAAGCCACCGCAGTTTCTAAAGAAAACTATGTAGCAATTGTGCTCCCTGGAAAACTTACCTCCTCATAAAAACATGCAAATGGATGTTTACAGCTGCTTTATACATAATTGCAAAAACTTGGAAGCAACCAAGATGTCATTCAATGGGTGAGTGAATAAACTGGTAAATGTAGACAGTGAAATAATCTTGAAAAGAAATGAGCTATCAAGTCATGAAAATACACGGAGGCAAAATGAAAACGTGAACAAGAAGCTGCATGATTTTAACGATCTGACATTCTGGAAATGACAAAAATATGAAGAAAGCAAAAAGATCAGTGGTTGCCAGGTGCTGGGGCAGAGGGATGGGTAAACAGGCAGAACACAGCATTTTTAGGGCAGCGATGCTCTGATGGTGGATGCATCACTATACCTTGGGCCAGATGCACAGTATGTAGGGCACCTGGACAGAACCTAATGTTAGTCGTGTCCTTGGGGCGATAATCGTGTATCAACGTAGGGTCACGGACTGTAGCAAATGTCGGGCTCTGGTGGGGGATGTTGACAGCCGGGAGGTTGTAGTGTGTGGGGACAGGGTGTATGCAAACTGCTCTAAAAAAGTATTTCAAATGATGACAACAGGGACGAAGTGTCCTTTGCAGGAAAAGTGCTGTTAGGGATCATGGAAGGGCGCTGGAGTTACTTCAGATGGGAGAATTTGGAACAGGGTAGGAAGAAGGCAGAGATTTCAGGGAGCAGGGGCGGGGTGTGGAGGAGAAAGCAGAAGTGGGGCTCACAGTGGGGAGGTGTTGTAAGGGCAGAGTGTGCTTGGAGCACTGGTGTAGGGAGCAGCAGCGCAGGAAGTAGGAAGGGAGTTGACTTTCCAGGCATGAAGGCATGCCCCCTTCCTCTTTCCTAACAATGTGGCCCTAATAATGGGACAGTCACCGAGACTGTCCCATCACACACGTGTCATCTTCAGAAGGGAGTGGCCTGGGAGGCCAGGGTGATGCTGGTGGCTTGCATCTCTGCAAGATAAATGTTGAAAAATATCTTCCAGGTTCCTTTAGGGAAACTGATATGAGGCACTACTGCTTAAAGAGGAACCTATGGAACAGGTGCTTAAGTGCTTAAGTCTGCTTGGAATCCCCCACTCCCCACCCCTGGCCTGCATCCCATATCAGAGCGCCCGGGTTTCTGGCTGCACTTCCAATCCAGCAGCCTGCTAATGTGCAACCTGGGAGGCAGCAAGTGATGGTTCATGCACTTGGGTCCCTGCCAACCCTGTGCGCGTTCTGGGCTCCTGGATTTGGTCTGGCCCAGTCTGAGCTGTTGCAGGCATTTGGTGGGGGAGGGGGAGGGTGAACCAGCCAATAAAATGGAAGTGCTCTTTCTCTCTGCCTTTCAAATAAAAAAGAGGAGGCAGAGCTGCTGGCCACTGCCAACCTTGATGAGCTATGGATGGCGCTCAGTGAGCAGACCTGAGTGAGACCAGGCTGGAGCTGCACCCGTTGCGGCTGTGCCGCTATGAGGGAAGGGAACGCTCCCAAAGCAGCCCATCATCCTTAAGGCCAAGTGCTGCAGCAGAAGAGCCAGGGTGGGGGGAAGGGGGGAGGGGGAGATTCAAGGGGTGGGAGTTTGTCTGTGGATATGGGCCTGGGGGGCTGTACCATGGTGGCTTGAAGCTGCACTTGAAGCCGCACGGAGAAAGGTTCGTTAAAGGCTACAAATGGGAGGGGAAATTAAAATTCCTGATGATCCACCTAAGACCCTGAGTGTGGCGAGCCTGCTAAACACCACTTCTCAAGGCTCAGCTCCAGAGGGCCTCACATAGTAGGTTGGGGCTGGGGCGGGGGCTTGTGAAAACGGTGATTTAACACATTGTCCAGACGATTTTGTTCTGGACCCTCTTGGACCACACTTTGAGAAACACTCCCTTTCTTTTCACCTCTTGTCTACATGCCTAGATCTTCTTTATGCAAACTAGTTTCAACTTCGCAACCCCCAGGAACGGGACTGTTGCCAGCAGACTGAATTCTCAAAAGAAAAAAAGCAAGACTTGCTGTGGTTAAGTCCCATAGAAAATGAGCAGAGCAATGTTGACAGAAACACTGTCTGCAGCAGCCCCCACCTAGAAAAATCCCAAATGTCCGTCAGCGGTAGGTGGATGCTAAATTGTGACACAGTCATTTCATGGAATGCTACAGCAATGGGGAGAATCCATCACAGCTCGACTCAACAACATGGCTTGGTCTCTCCAAGTCCAGGGAAACAAGCAAGTCTCAAAAGAATACGAAGACAGTGTTTCAGTTTAATTAAAGGTCAAAAGCAAGGCTAGATTATATTGATTACAGAACCATGCCTGGGTGATGAAGCTATTCAGAGAAGCAAATAAATGAGTCTCATGAAAACCAGCACAATGGTTTTTTCCCTGGGGAGAAGAGGAAAGGCGATGTGAGAGGGTGAGCTCCTGCTTGGGTGCTTCCAGGGTCCTTTAGAGTTTCTCACCCTGCTTGGTGGTTCCATGGGTGTTCACTCTTTTCAGACCATAAGTATTAACTATATGCATTCCTGCGTACGTGATATATCTCATCAAGGAAAAGATAACAAGTAAAATTTCAATTTTAAAGTCTAATAAATACGTCACACTTTATCCCAATGGGAGAATCAGATGTAGCAACCCACAGGACTGTGCCTGGTACTGCGCTTGTAAACCAACAACAACATTTCCTGGGTGCTGACAGTGTGCCCTGTACTGGAGAGAACGAGCTGATCAATGTTGCTGCTCTCAAAGAGCTCACAGCTCCAGGGTGGAGACAAACACTTAACAGGAGTTGATGCTATTGAGAGGTAAGCTCAGGAGCTCTGGATAAAAGGGCACCTTACACACCATATTGGAAAGGCAGAGAAGCTTCCTGGGGAAAGTAGTAATTGTCATCAAATAAAATGATAAACAGTGCCGGCACAAAAGGTTAAGCCACCGCCTGTGATGCCAGCATCCCCTATCGGCGTCGGTTCCAGTCCCAGCTGCTCCACTTCAGATCCAGCTCCCTGCTAATGCACCTGAGAAGGCAGCAGAAGATGGCCCGAGCCCCTAGGCCCCTACACCCATGTGAGAGACCTGCAGAAGCTCCTGGCTCCTGGCTTCAGATCGGCCCAGCCCTGGCTGCTGTGACCATCTGGGGAGTGAACTAGCAGATGTGAAAGATTTGCCTGTCTCTCCATCACTATAGCTTTCGCTTTCAAATAAATAAAATAAATCTTTAAAAAAGAAAAAACCCAGAGGCCAGCATTGTGGCATAGCAGGATGCCTGCAATGCTGGCATCCCATATGGGCACTGGTTTGAGCACTAATGACTGGGAAAGCAGTGGAAGATGGTCTAAGGACTTGGGTCCCTGCCACCCACACAGGAGACCAGATTTGAATTCAGCCTGGATAAGCCCTGGCTGCTGTGGGCATTTGGGAGAGCAAACCAGCAGATGGAAGATCTTTCTTTGTTGTTCTGCTTTTCAAATGACTATAAATAAACTTTAGAAACAGGAAGAATGCAGGCCTTCCCTGTGGAGGGAACAGCATGTGCAAAGGCAGAGAGACCTGCAAGCACCTGGGTTTTTCTGGGAACAGCGGGTCATTTACTGAGACCAGAGCCAGTGCTGCCTGGACTGGGGGAGGGAGGCTGGGAAAACAGACTGGAATGAGGTGTCTTCGTGGATTTGCCTATTCTGAACACGTTATATCAGTGGAACCCCCAGTATGTGGGTATTGTGTGACTTCCTTCACTTAGCATGATGTCGCTAAGTTTCATATGTGTGTGGTGGGCATTAGTACTTCCTTCCTGTTTATTGCCAAATAATCGCCTTAATACCTTGAACCTGGATGTTAAAAAAATGCCTTGGGGCGTTCGCCTGCCTCACACCCCTTTGTAGCAAATCTTGTTACCAACAGCCCTGTGGAATAGTCTGCTGGCCTTGGCTTATCAAACGCCAGTTCGTGTTCACTGGCTTTCTGCCCCCTCCCAGCCAAAAGGGGTGAGAAGGTATGAATCCACCAACACCAGGTTGCTTATTTACACTTTCTTGATCATATCACTGGGCAGTACATCAGGTGTGTGGTCTCCAAGAAGTTCTAGGAGCACAGACTCAATACAACCGTTTGGGCATAATGTAAGTTCTTCAGTGTAGTGTTTTAATTCTCTGTCCTTGAAAGAGACACATCCCAAAGTCCATCTCTGATCTTCCACAGAAGGGGAAGCTAATGAGACTTGGGATTGACCTGAATCAATACACTCATGTACCTCACAGAGATTGAAAGGTTACATTTAACAAAAATATAAGGACAATTTATAATGTGCACCTTAATGGCCTCTCTATAAACAGAACTTCCCAAATAGAATGTGCACTTAAATGTTACATGGCACCATCTTTCCTTCTCTCCATCAAACTTCCAGTTTAAACTTTAAAAAAAATGTATTTGAGAGGCACACACAGAGTGCTCTGATCTGCTGGTTCACTCCCAGATGCCCATATCAGCCATGGCTGGGCCAGGCTCCAAGCCTGGATGGCAGGAACTCAATTACCTGAGCATCACCACTTCCTCCCAGGGTTTGCATTAGCAGGAAGCTGGAGCCAGGAGCTGGAGCTAGGAGCTAGGAAACAAACCCAGGCACTGTGATAATGGGACATGAGTATCTCATCCACTAGGCTAAACACCTTCTCTCTGAAGTTTTG